ACCACGGGAGCTGTGAAAACAGCAGCCTCGCAGCCACCAGAGGGGCAGACCTGGCCTGCGGTCCCTCAGAAAGTCCCACTGTCTGCAGCACTGTCACCACGTGACCTTCGTCACAGGTCCCTGGAAAAGCCCTGCTCACAGGGCACGGTAGTTATTTGACCCGATTCAGAGCCTTCAGTGGGAAAAGCCCTCTCCCTGGGCTTCTGCTGAAAAACAAACAGCTGCACTTCTGTAACATCACAGTTGCCTAACCCTGCAACTCCAGTGGGGCAAACGAGAGCCTGGCCAAAGGCTGAGAAGGAAGATGGGGGGGACGAGATGTCTGCAGGGAGCTGTGAAAGGCTCTGACACATCCCTGCAGCTGTAGAAGGACAAGCCCAGGAGAGACCTGCGGGGCCACCCCATCTCTCACCTCTGGCTGAACTTGAAGCCCTGTGCAAGGAGAAGGTTAATGCTTGTCCCAACACACACACGCACACGCACAGGCACAGGCACAGGCAGCTCTTGGCAAAGATGGCGGGCGCATCTGTTGGCAGCGTTTAAGGAAATCATTCAGCTCAGTGGATTTCAGGAAATCACTGACACCAAGCTAACCAGGCAGAGACTGAAGTGTCCAAACACTACAAGGAGTACAGCCTTTTCAGAATTAGTCCAGGAAGGTCACTAAGGGAACAAACAGGCAAAAACAGAACAAACCCCCAGCAATAACAAATGATGTCCAGTTTTCCACAAAAACAAAAAAATGACAAGACACACACACAAAAAAAGCAGGGAAGTATGGCCCACACATGGGGGAAAAATAAACCAAGAAACTGTTCCCGAGGGTGTCCAGAGGTTGGACTTACTAGACAAAGACTTTAAATCAGCTACTCTAATAAGCTGAAAGAACTAAAGGAAACCACATATAAAGACACTACAGGAAAGTAGGACAATGTCTCCCCAAGTAAGTATCAGTATAGAGAGAAAAATTATGAAAAAGAACCAATTATGAACTTTGAAATTATGGAGCTGAAATGCATAACTGTAACGAAGAATTCACTAGAGGGGCTTGGTAGCCAGCGGAAGAAAGAACCAGCAAACCTGAAGGGAGGCCAACTAGAACAGCAAGACAGAAAGTCAGTGAGGACACAGACGACCTGAACAGTGCTGTTAACCAGCTTGAACTGGCAGATCTACACAGGGCTCCATCCGACAGCAGCACAATACTTACCCTTTTCAACTGCACACAACACATTCCACAGTACAGACCAGAGGCTGGGCCATAAAACAAGTATTAATAAATTTAAAAGAACTGAAATGATACAAACATATCCTTCAACCAGAATGAAGTTAAATTACAAGACAGTAACAGAGGAAAATTTGAAAAATCAATAAATATTTGGAAATAACACATTTCTAAATAATCCACAGGTCAAAAAGAAACAAGGGAAATTACAAAGTATTTTCATCTGAATGAAAATAAAAACACAACAAACCAAAATACATGAGATGCAGCTAAATTGGTGCTCAGAGAGGAATTTATAGCTTTAAACACCTGTATTAGAAAAGAAGACAGATCTCAAATCAATAATGTAAACATTCACCTCCAGATAAAAAGAAAACAAAAGCAAACTAGAAAAAGAACAGACCAAACCAAGGTAGGAAAAAGGAAATAATAAAGATTAGAGTGGATGCTAATGGAATAGAAAACAGAAAAGTGATATAGAACTTCAATGAAACTGAAAGTTGGTTCTTTGAAAACACTGACAAAATTGACAAATCCCTAGCTACATTAACCAAGAGAAAAAGAAGACATAGATTGTGAAAACCTGGGAGCATTACCACTGCCTCCTCAGAAACTAAATGAGGGACTTCCCTGTGGTCCAGTGGTTAAGACTTTGTCTTCCAGTGCAGGGGGTGTGGGTTTGATCCCTGGTCAGGGAGCTAAGATCCCACATGGCTTACGGCCAAAAAACCAAAACATAAAACAGAAGCAATATTGTAACAAATTCAATAAAGACTTTAAAAATGGTCCACATCAAAAAACCTTAAAACAACAACAAAAAGTAACTAAATGAAATATAAGACAGGACCATGAACAACTGTCTACCAACAAATTCAACAACTTACATGAAATGGAAAAATTCCTACAAAGTAACAAATTAACTAAAGTGACTCAAGAAGTAACAAAATCAGAATAGACCTATAGCAAGTAAAGACATTGAATTAGTAACTTAAAATTTTCCCATGAAGAAAAATGTAGGCCCAGATGGCCTCACTGGTGAATTTTATCATTTACAGAAGAAATGATATCAATACTCCATAAACTCTTTGAAAGAGGATAGAATACTTTCCAGTTTATTCTAAGAGGTCAGTATCACCTGGGTACCAAAGCCAAAGACATAACAAGAAAACTACAGATATTCCTAGATATACAACGTAAAACATAAAAATGGAAGCCACCACATTTTCAGTAGTAGATAAAGACTGCAGAATAGGAAGCACCATGAGTTAGGACAAGTTATCCTCAGCCACCTCTCCTTCTTGAATGTGAAAAATTAGTATCAGGACTTCCCTGATGGTGCAGGGGTGAAGCATCCGCTTGCCAGTGCAGGGGACATGGGTTCAAGCCCTGGTCCAGGAAGATCCCACATACCGCGGAGCGACTAAGCCCCATGAGCCACAACTACTGAGCCTGCGAGCCATAACTACCGAGCCTGTGAGCCACAACTACTGAGCCTGCACTCTAGGGCCCGCAAGCCACAACTACTGAGCCCGTGAGCCACAACTACTGGATCCCGTGCACCTAGAGCCTGTGTTCCACAACAAGAGAAGCCACCATGATGAGGAGCACGTGCACCACAATGAAGAGTAGACCCTGCTCGCTGCAACAAAGACCCAATGCAGCCAAAAATAAACTATAAATAAATAAATTTATTTAAAAAACAAAACAAAACAAAACTAGTATCAGATAAAAATGAGTGTGGCAGGCAGAGTGATCGGTCCTCAAAGAAGTGCACGTCCTAATCCTCAGACCTGTGATTGTGTTAGGTTACACAGCAAAGTAGGATTATTAATAAGGACGCAGATGGAATTAAGGTTACTGATCCAGGATAATAAGAAGACTATCCTGGATTATCTGGGTGGACCCAATGTTATCACAAGGACCTTTAAAAGTGGGAAGAAGAGGCAGAAGAGAGACTTCACAAGGTCAGAGAGATGCAGTGTTGCTGGCTTTGAAGACAAAGGGAGGGGGCCCACATCCAAGGACACAGGCAGCCTCTAGAAAGTGTAAAAGGCAAGGAAACATTCACTGCTAGAGCCTCCAGAAAGAAAGGCAGCCTGCCAACATCTTGATTTAAGCTCAGTGAGACCCACCTCAGATTTCTGACCTCCAGTTATGCTGTTTTCAACCACTCGGTGACAATTTGTTAAAGCAGCACTAGAAAACTAAAACAACAAGCAACAGAAAAGAATTAAGGTCAAATCCTACAAAAGGATAAGAGAGAAAAAAAAATGAAGACCAGAAAAACATCTCTATAGATAATGAAAGCACACTAGAAAAATATAAGCACAAATTACATGAAAACTGTAACTTATTTCAAAAGAAGCTAAAGAAATTAAGAAAATAATACAAAAGAACAAAATAAATCAGAATAGAAAAACACTGAAATGAGGTTATGGATCCTAAGAAAATATTACAAGTAAAAGTAAAATGTCATTTTACAAATTGCAAATCATGAGGCTAGGAGAGAAAAAGGCGAAAGTTGGAGGGGGAAGAAAGAGAAAGAGCCCTATCTGTTCAAACAAGAGAATGAAGCCAGCAAAAAGGGGTGGTGGGTGGTGGCCGTGGGCTGTGTATACGGCCTCCCTGTAACCTGAAATCTTCAGCAAAATAAACACACACGCTCAAAAACAAAAAGTAAAATGCCATTTTAAGAATAAAGACTAAGTTAGAAGCAACATAACAAATAAACCCCACAGATGATTTCTTAAGATAAACAGAAGAGTTTAGAAAATAAAGTTTTTTAATGAAGAAGAAATGAAGAGCTAAAACAGACTCAGGAGAAGCTGGCCAATTGAAAACACAGGCAAAGAAGATCCAACACATGTATAATCAGAGCATCCCCCACAGAAAAAGGAGGGCACAAAGCAAAAGAAGAGAATACTAAACAATTTGAAATAAAAATTGTAAAACTACGTATATTGAAAGAGCATATGGTAAAGCTGAGAAAATCCATCCTTAACAATTAACACTGAGGTATATTCTAGGAAAACCACTGGACTTAAAAAAAAAAGAAATGCCATTGAGGGGAAAACCAAGGTCACGTACAAGGGAAGGAAAATAAAATTGTCATGAGTTTGACAGCAATGTTTTATGCTATAAGACAACGGAATAACATATTTAAGATATCTGAGGAAAAAATATGTGAGCCAAGCATTTTATATCCAGTCAACCTGGCTTACAAGTATAAGGGACACAGAAAAACTATTATCAATGTGCAAGAATTCAGGAAATATTTTTCCTTGAGCCCTCCCGGAGAAATCTAACAGAGAACGAAGCTCAACCAAAAGTCTAGAGAAACACTGATGAAAGGACCGTGTGAGTGCTCTGTATACACTTCCTTGCAGGACTAAGACCGAGTGAGGGTCTCCGGGAGAGAGCACAGTAGGCAATGGTCACCGCGCTTCCACGTAGAGCCCGAATCACTGCAAAGAGGGATGGGAAGACAATGGGAAGTCTTTGGCAAAAAGTATCAACCTGTTTTCAGTAACGACACAGCCACTGTTACTCAGAGACTGAGGTGTGTACAGTGAGAGTGAAGCAGAGGAGTGACCAGCAATAGCACAAGACTCTCACCTCCCATGTCCTTGAGAACCAGCATCCTCAGACAGAGACAGAGACCCAGGGCAAGAAAGGTCAAATGCACATCCTACAGTCGGTGAGCAGGACACCTACCCCAGCTCTGCTCACTGCAAAGGCCTAAAAACAGTGACCAGCCCAATGGGAATGAGCTTACCTGACATCCGGACTACAGTTGTGAAACATCATTTCCCATTAAAGAAGACCAGGGCTTTTGAAGGAATGGCTGATTGCAGGTCTTGGGCAGGAAGAATACAAAATGAGCCTAGAACATTCTGGCACACCAGAGAGCAAGGAACCTCTGAGAGAGGACGAGAATTGTGTCAGAAGGATCTAGGCGCCAACTTGTAAGGGCTCCCACTGTCCAAAAAAATGAGATAATTTGAACGTAAATGAGGACCGTCATAATAATGCATTAAAGCACATCAAATATGTTAAATCTATGAATGCATGACACCGAGATAAAAGGCTCAATTGGTCACCTTTGTAGGATGATAGGAAACTGATAAAGAAGCAAGCATTTTTCTTCAGTTTCCTACATAAACTACAGCACCAGATAACCACGGAGGAGCTAAGGACAGGGTCCTCTTACTCCAAGCCCAGCTCATGAACAAAGACGCAGTAACTGAGCCGGAACGTCCCTGTCCCATAACTTTCACTGATTAAAGCCTGCAGGTCTGTGCATCGCTGGCTGCCAACAGCAAAGAGAGCGAGAGCCTCACACACGAGGTCCTTCCTAAGGGAGCAACACAGCAGCCAGGAAGGAGGCTGAACCTCATCAGGCCTTAGATCCACCACCAATTTAAAGGAACCAAGAGCAGGCAAACACATTAAACCACACCTGAGGGCCGTGGCTGGCAAAATCCAGACTGAGAAACACGAGTGCAGCCACCTGGCTTCTTCCACACCAAACTCCCACAGGAGGAGGGGGTGCCCTGTAAGTAAGGGACTGAAACGTCACGTGAAAAACAGGCAACACTTAACTACTGCTTAAAGACGTGCAATCCCGTCATAAAACTACGAAGAAAGGGAAGTATTTGGCATCAAAGGGAGGGATGTGGCTGGGATAGGGCACGTAGAAGGATTCCAGGGAGGGCAAAATTTTCTCTCTTGACCCAAGGGATGGTTACAAAAGTGTCCACCTTATCATAATCCATCAAGCTATTAATTTATGCAGTTTGTCTCTGTGCCATACTTTATTTTTATTTTAGGCCGTGTTGGGTCTTAGTTGCAGCACGCGTGATCTTTGTTGAGGTATGCAGGATCTTTTCCGTTGGGATGCACGGGCTTTTCTCTAGTTGTGGTGTGCGGGTTTTCTCATCTCTAGTTGTGGCGCGCATGCTCCAGGGTGCATGGGCTCTATAGTCTGCGGCACCCAGGCTCTCTAGTTGAGGCGCATGAGCTCAGGAGTTGCCCCGTGGCATGTCAGATCTTAGTTCCCTGACCAGGGATCGAACCTGAGTCCCCTGCATTGTAAGGTGGATTCTTTACCACTGGACCATCAGGAAAGTCCCCCTGTGCTATACTTTAAGATAAAAAGGTTTTTAAAAACCTCATGAGGGGCTTCCCTGGTGGCGCAGCAGTTAAGAATCCACCTGCCAATGCAGGAGACGTGGGTTTGAGCCCTGGTCCGGGAAGATCCCACATGCTGTGGAGCAACAAAGCCCGTGCACCACAACTACTGAGCCTGTGCTCTAGAGCCCGCGAGCCACAACTACTGAAGCCCACGCGCCTAGGACCCATGCTCCGCAACAAGAGAAGCCACCGTGATGAGAAGCCCACGCACTGCAACGAAGAGTAGCAGCCAAAAATAAATAAATTTATTTTAAAAAAAAAAGATAAAAAGGATTTTAAAAACCTCATGAGGGGCTTCCCTGGTGGTGCAGTGGTTAAGAATCTGCCTGCCAATGCAGGGGACACGGGTTTGAACCCTACTCTGGGAAGATCCCACATGCCACAGAGCAACTAAGCCTGTGCGCCACAACTACTGAGCCTGTGTTCTAGAGCCCGCGAGCTGCAACTACTGAGCCTGCACGGCTAGAGCCCGTGCTCCGCAACAAGAGAAGCCACCGCAATGAGAAGCCCGCGCACCGCAACGAAGAGTAGCCCCCGCTCGCCACAAGTAGAGAAAGCCCGTGTGCAGCAACGAAGACCCAACGCAGCCAAAATAAATAAATATATAAAATAAAATATTTTTTCCAACTTTAAAAAAACACACACACAAAAAAACACCTCATGAAACTATCGTGACACAGGCAAGGACCATCCCAGCAGGAGGGAGGCCCCACCCCACTGCCCTCGGCACAGACGGGAGGGTCAGGCAGGCCCGGGGTGTAAACGCACCCACACATGTGAATGTGCATCTGGAACGTGGTCATCAGGAGAGACTTTCACCTTCTATTTTATGTATTTCTCTACTACTGGGCTAGTTTTGTACATATTATTTCAAAATCATAGATAACAAAGATGTTTCTTTTTCTTTTTTCTTTTTTGGCCACACCGCACAGCATGGGGGATCTTAGTTCCCTGACCAGGGATGGAACCAGGGCCCCCTGCATTGGAAGCATGCAGTCTTAACCACTGGACTGCCAGGGAAGTCCCTGTTGTTTCTATTTTAGGAAAAATGCTGTCATTTGCTCTAGCAGCTTACTACTAAAGAAAATAATTTTTCTACTATTTTAGCACCAAATTTTAAAAAAGACAAAAAAGCACGTTAGCTTTAGTTTTCCAACCACAAAAGGATTATGTTGCTGAGGCATTTTTGATAATTTTCTATGTGTGTGAATGACAATTTGGTTTTTGTCACCTGTCCTAAAACTTTGGAGGCTACTCTGGCCTTGAAAGGTGAGGGCTACCTATTCACCGTGCATCTGGACGGCATCTGGAACCAGCCTTTCCGTGGTTCTGCTTCTGTTCTCCAGCAAATCAGATTTAGTCTAAAATAAAATCAATCAGCATGAGTATTAAATAGGGCAATCAATGACAATAAGGGAAACGGTCCTTCTAGAACAAATCCCATCAGTTTCCTTGTTGTGGGTGCTGCCCGCAGCCCCTGGCCCCCCAAGGCGAAGGGTGCCCAGTCTCACTCAGCCCCACTCATCTCTTGATAGCTAGAGGACCGCTCTGAAGCACTGAGGAGATTAAGAAAATACAGGTACACTTGAACAGTGAGCACGGCGATCCTAAATTATGAGCAGAGACTGGAGGGAGAGGATGATGAGGGGTAGAAAGGAGGCATCCAAAACCCACATTTTCTGAAATTCACTTTGCAGTTTTTAGTTTCAAAGCCGAAAACACCTAAAAGTAGAGGTAGCTAATCAGAGGATCCTTTCCATGGGCTAGTTACAAATATATGCGTGTGTGCTTATTTCTGCAGGATAAAGTAGAAATAAAAACGGTTGCTGGGCTTCCCTGGCGGCGCAGTGGTTGAGAGTCCGCCTGCCGATGCAGGGGACACGGGTTCGTGCCCCGGTCTGGGAAGATCCCACATGCCGCGGAGCGGCTGGGCCCGTGAGCCATGGCCGCTGAGCCTGCGCGTCCGGAGCCTGTGCTCCGCAACGGGAGAGGCCACCACAGTGAGAGGCCCGCGTACTGAAAAAAAAAAAAAAAAAAAAAAGTTGCCTATAGGGGCTTCCCTGGTGGCGCAGTGGTTAAGAATCCTCCTGCCAATGCAGGGGACACAGGTTCGAGCCCTGGCCCGGGAAGATCCCATATGCCACAGAGCAACTAAGCCCATGTGCCACAACTACTGAGCCTGAGCTCTAGAGCCCACGAGCCACAGCTACTGAGCCCGTGTATCACAACTACTGAAGCCCGCATGCCTAGAGCCCGTGCTCCGCAACAAGAGAAGCCACCACAATAAGAAGCCCACGCACCGCCAACAAACAGTAGCCCCCGCTCGCCGCAACTGGAGAAAGCCCGCGCGCAGCAACGAAGACCAACTGTAGCCAAAAAAAAAAAAAAAAAAAGTGTTGCCTATAAAGAGTGGAGGAGATAGGAATGCAAGTGAGATTTCTGATCGTACCTTCAAAAAGAACTTAAAAACAAAAAAACACCTTAAATTTTGCTAGGTGATTTCATTAGCAGTCATAACATAATATTGTCATTTTATCCAGTTTTTGTGTACTTTAGCATAAAACAAATAAGAAATTATGCCAATGGCATTAAGGAATCATAATTTTCTACTCAATGCCCTGTGGTGACCTAAATGGGAAGGAAATCCAAAAAAGAGGGGATATATGTATACCTATAGCTGATTCACTTTGCTGTACAGTAGAAACTAACACAACATTGTAAAGCAACTATACTCCAACAAAAATTAATTTAAAAAAAATCAAAAATTTCAGGAAAAGAAAAAGACAGAGGGACCTTCCCTGGTGGCGCAGCGGTTAAGAATTTGCCTGCCAACGCAGGGCACACGGGTTTGATCCCTGGTCTGGGAAGATCCCACATGCCGTGGAGCAACTAAGCCCGTGCGCCACAACTACTGAACCCCGTACACCTAGAGCCCGTGCTCCGCATCAAGAGAAGCCACTGCAACGAGAAGCCTGCGCACTGCAATGAAGAGTAGCCCCCGTTCGCCACAACTAGAGAAAGCCCGCGTGCAGCAGCAAAGACCTAATGCAGCCAAAAATAAATTAATAAAAAAAAGAAAAAGACATTTTTTAAAAATCAAAGAAATTAAGTAAAACTATATAATTTTAAATCTGCATTGAAAATATAACTCTTGATGTTGTAAAAATACATTTCCTAGCTCTGTGCACCAGACCAACACTTAAAGCTGCAATAATACCCAGAGACAACAAACAGATCTAATACCTAGGTCTTGGTTTCTAAATACCTTCTGCACTAAAGGGAAGCAAAGTGCTCTGCAGAAAGAGCTGGCTGCAGCTCTGGCAAAGGAACGGAAGGTGGCAGAAGGGAAGTGCTGCCAGGATGATGCCGGAGCAGCACCCGGAGCCGGCTTCGCCGGGGCTCCCGACGGGTCAGTCACAACCATCTGAACACCAGAAAACAGAACCAGAGGACTTTACTAGACTACGATGTAACGAATAAATGAAAACCTGTTAGTCAGCACTGATACTCAGAGAAGAAAAAGGACAAATAAAAACATTTGCCACAACGCAGGTGAATATTACAGCCACTGCTCCCCAGAAAGAGGTAATACAAGGAGAGAATTCAGCATTTTTCCTGTCTTCCTTGAATGTAACGGACAAGGGAAACACAGATGAAATACAGAAAGAAAGAACAGCCCTAGAAAGTGGGCGTCAGTCCCAAAAGGACAGCCTCTGAGGGCGGCAAACAGGAAGGCCGGCACCACCCGCGTGAAGACATGCAGGTCCCCGGCTGGTGGCATCCGAGGATGGGAAGCAGCTGTGGACACCAAGGGCCGACTATAACTTATCCTCGGATTTCCGACTATGCGGAGGGTGGCGCCCCCAACCGCCTGCCGTGTTGTTCAAGGGTCAACTGTAAACGACAAAGAAGGAAAATGGCAAACAAACCCAGAACATGGGACATTCGTGAGACAACTGGCCTAGTCTCTTCAAAAAGTCAGTGTCACGGAAAAAAATGGGGGCGGGTTATTGTTCCAGAATAAAAAAGTCTAAAGAGACAGACTCAGTGCAGTGACCTGGACTAGATTCTGGTTTGGAACAAACAAGCTAATAAACACAAGTAGGGAAATCGGACTGCGGCTTGGCCACTGAAAGTGATGAGGGATTATCGTTCATTTCCTTCACAGCTGGACTGCTGGTGAGAGAGAAGAACATCCCTTTGCCTTTTCTTTTTCTTTTTTTGGGGGGCCACGCTCTGCGGCACGCGGGATCTTAGTTCCCTGACCAGGGACGGAACCCAGGCCACGGCAATGCAAGTGCTGAAGCGCCAAGACCTAACCACTGGACCGCCAGAGAATTCCTCCCTTTGCCTTTCCTTAGAAGAAAAGGACACTTAGAGGTGAAGTGCTGTGATATCTGCAATCTCCTTAGAGAAAGTCTGGAAGCACCAGACAGGCGAAGGTGGCAGCCATGGCAGTGCCATGGCAATGTCATGACATGTGCTCCATCTTGGGGCAGGTCGGAGAGTGCCACGGACTGTTCTTCCAACGCTCCACAACACAGCCTTTAAAATACAGAAGCGTATCTGCTTTCAACTCAAAGTCCAGGTGCTCCCCAAGAGCTGCCAAGTACACCGAGGGCATCAGGGCCGCCGCCGCCACCGCTGCCTGGCTCACCCTTGGACGTGGTAGTCTTTCCACCAAGGCTATAAATTAAGATCTGGTCCACGTCTGAGAGTAACCGTAGCACCTTCTGAGGGTGGAGAGCCATGACTCACATATTCCAGGGGTGGCAACAGCGTCAACTACCTCCCATGCAGAAGTGCCAGCACCCACTCACATGGAGAAACCACCCCCCAGGCCTGGCCGAGCTGAGGCGGAGGACCCAGACTCAGAGCCAGAGCCCACCGCAGAGAGGCGAACTCAGAAACCTAGAACCGGAGCCACTTCCACGAGATATGGTCAGAAAACCTGATAAGGCCACCCTGGAAACAAAGCACATTCCAGAGGAGGCAAACAGACTCCGTTCGGGGCGGCTGGTCCCTGTTCTACCCCTGAAATGTTCTGGGTCACAGACCAGGGCTATCTGGGGCTCCGCTCTGTCTTTTTGAGGGTCCCTTTACCCAATACCAGCACCTTTTCCCCCGGCGTACAGGGCAGTCCCACCAGTGACAGGTTTGAAATTGCTGCTGTGGCTGGAAGCTGCTGGAAGAGTGTTGAGAGTCCTTTTACTTCCAAGATGTGGCACATGGCCTGCGGCAGAGTAACCGGAGCTCTCACCAAACAGCACACAGCTCCCTCCGCTGCTGCCTCTGTGGCACGAGAGCCACAAGGTAAGGCTCAGTTAGCCGTGGCCCTGGATGAAAACGCAGTCCCTTGGTTTACATCTGTGGGGGCGGCGTGCAGGCCACACAGATCAAAGAGCCATCACACAGAGCACCCGGGTGGGTCAACAGGGGACACCCCAGCCCAGCCCAGCATCAGTGGTTTCTACGACACAGACTTTGCGGGGGGGAAAGGGCGGGGCCCGGCGGTTGGAAGGCCTTCACCTGAATGCGAGCAGAAACCAAGCAGAGCAGGCACCTGATCAAGGCTGGGAAGGGGGCTTTACGACAGGACATGGGCTCAAACGGAGGGGCCAACCTCTCCCACAGCAGTGGAGGCCCTGCTGCTTCTTACTCAGGGCCTCCATTCCATCACCCCCAGACCCTGCAGGGCGGGGCTCAAAGGTCCTCTCCCCCTAAAAGAGGTCTTCCTGGAGCATGCTTCTCACACTGCCATCACCCCCGCCCCCGCCTGCCTGTGCTCTTCCTGGAGTACCCTTCTCTGGTTTGAGTCCATCCCACCATCACTATGTTAAGTTCTCCTATGGCAGGGCCTTCTTTTAAAAACCACCATTGCCCCCAGCAGGTAGAACAGCGCCAGGTGCAAAGTAGAGAGGTGAGAAAACCTCATGCGGAGTCCGGCGCCTCTGTCTCTCCTGGTCCCCTCTACCTCAGAAATAGGGGGCGTGAGAAGAAAAGACTTTATTTTATTCCTAACAACGCCTTCCAGGATTTGAACTACCAAAAGCACACATCAAACAATTAGCTAGGAAGTGATGTGAACTATTCCAGAATGATGCAAAGTCAGGCAATGACAAGTAGGGTGAGGGAGAAGGGCAGGAGAGACAGGGCTGTGGAAAGGGCTGAGCACCTGGAAGGTGACTGACAAGAAATCCGCTGTGACCCAGACACTGAAGGGAGGCCTGACCGAGAGGCTGCAGGACGGTCGGGGCTAGAGGCAAACTGTGCCTTTTTATGCAGCTAAATTCATCCAACACAAAACGTATATACGAATGATGGTTCCTACAGCTTATGTCAAGTCCTGAGATGTAAACAGCACCTTAAATATCAAACAGTACCTAGAAGAATAACAGTCGCTGTCTCTCAGTCGCAAGCCTTGTGCAGAGAAGCTCAGAAGGAAACACAATGCTGGTGAGGGAGAGTCACGGGGGCCCCCAACCAACCATCAGAGGCTCCTCACTGTGCCCCAGAGTCGCTCACCTGCCCCCCTCCCCTCGCCAGGCAGTCCTCACACTGAAGGAGGAGATCAGACCAGAGTTCAGATGGTGAAGGAGCGGAAGCCAGGCAAAGAGAAACACACACACAGAGGGAAGGACAGCACTGACCGCCGTCACCGCTCTTCATGCCGCAACAGCTCCACTGCCCGGTGCTGGCCACGCTCCAAACTCCTCGCCAGACAGGGATCTGAAATACAGGTACACACGTTTCCTTTGCTACGTAAATGCCGCATCGGCTCCTTTGCGCAGACACAGAATTCAATCGGTGACCCTAATAATTCACTTAAAACCTTTCCCAATGCGTTAGGAACATTCTTTGCACAGCTTGAGTTACTCACAAACCTCCTCCTCTGTGTGGTGACACTGAAAAACAGGGCAGAGTTTTCATGTCCAAAAACATCAGGAATTAGCCAGAACAGTGGAGGAGGAAGGGGTGTCAAGCAAACACCTGTGAAGTGAACGCAAGTCTGAGCTTTCTTCCAAGATAGGAGGTTACCTTCTTGAAGAGTCACAGACTCTCTCTTAAGATTTCTAGATCTTTTCCTGAGAAAATGTAAATCATGATGAGCAGATATAATCTGTTTAAGGATTACAGGAAGTGTGCATCCCTGCATGGACAGCCCATTGGAAAACCCTGAGTACGGTTTCCTCTCACAAGATAACTTTGTATGGAAATTAATTCATAATTGAAATTTGGCTTATTCAGAGCACTTTCTAAAAACTCCAACTAAATCCTTCATCGTCTCCTAATTTTATCACCATGATATAGAGAAAACATAAAAAATTAATATAAAAAGTCACAAGGATGCGCCATTATCATGGTGCGTTATCACACTCGTCTCATGAAAATCTAAAGTGGCTTCTTCAAAACTATGGACTTGATCTTAAAGCTGGAAGAAAAAAAAACCTATGGACTGATCTGATCAGAGTTAACTTCAAAGCAAATAACTTCCCTTTTTTAGGAACATGAGAATGCCAACAGAAGTTTCTCCTGATGGCTCAGCTTGGCAGGGACTTGCTTCCAGAGAGGTGCATGTATTTGTCTACTGAAATTCACCCAAAATACAAGGAGAGTCAAGGGGGCTGGCAATTCTCTTAAGTAACAGGGATGGTGTGGGTCACAGAAAAAACACAAAAGAAGATACACAAATGACTCCACCTTCACTTCGGTCTAGAAAAACAACCGCAATTGGAAAAAACACTTGAAATTATGCTTTGCAATTTGATTCATATTTTCACTACTTAAACTTGAATGGTCCTACCCAGAAACACGTACAATAGCTAAAAAGCATCAGAAGCATGTAGTAATAAGGAAGGTCTCATTTGCTTCCTAAGACATACGTAAATAAGGCCCCTGGGTGCCTCTTCCTGGAAGTGCACTGAAAATAAAATACTGTATCTAGAGGAAAATCCTAAAAACGTAACTTGTAAGGCGATTCGCTGTAGTGGCGGAGGGCAAAGGACTTCAGGAAAGACGCCCAAAGAGCACCTGTCTGCTGCTGCGCGGAGCTGCCCGGCCGCCGTCCGGCGCCCCCCATGCCAGCACCGGGCTTCCCCCACGACTGCGGCGCCCGGTCCCGCCCCGCGCGCACAGGCGCCCGCGTGGTCAGCGCGTAAACTTCACACCGGCCGGGCACTTCTGCCCCCGCGTTCTCCCGAGTCCCTGGGCCCGTGCCCCGTCTATCCCATCCCCGCGGCTGCGGCCGGGCCGGGTGTCCGCACCAACTTTCCACCACTTCAGGTGTTTCCTCCACCAAACCCTGCAGCCCGGAACACGCGCCCCGGGTGCGACCGTCCGCGGGCCCACCGCGCGCCAGCTGTCAGCCGGGCCGGGAGCGCGGGCCCGGCGCTCGGGCACCGTGGTCGAGTCGAGCGGCCCGGGCGGGGTCCCGGCGACGGGAGGCCGCGCCCCCGCCCCCCAACCCCCGGCCCGGCTCAGGCGACATCGCGGCGACCCCGGCCGCGGCCGCGGCCCCGGCCCGGCTCCCCGACCCCCGCGACCTCCGGCCCCCAGCCGGACTCCCGGCCCCGACCCCCGCGACCCCGGCCCCGGCCCGACGACGCGCCAGAACGGCCGGGCCCGGGTCGCGAGCTCGCGGCTGAGGCAGAGTCGGCGCCGGCCGCGCACTCACCGCGGGCGCCGGGCGTGGGGCGGCTCCCGCCCGGCTGCGGACGACGGCCGCGCAGGCGGACTCACTCCCATTCATTAGCCGCGGCTTTGTCTGCCCCCGCGCCCCTCCCGCCGCCGCCGCCACCACCGCCCGCCCGCCCGCCCGCGACGCCGCCGGACGCTGCACCCCTCCCAGGGCCCCGCGCGGCGCGGGGCGGGGAAGGGGGCGGGACCAGCGCGCGCAGGCGCAGTGCCCATATGCCTGTCCCTCCCTGGGGCCCGGCCGGTCCGGCCGCTCCAGGGGCCGAGGCGGTGCTGACGGGGCAGGCGCAGTCCCGCCGCTCGAGGGGCCGAATTGCTGCTGACTGCGCAGGCGTAGTCCCGCCCCCTGGCCGGTGCGGGTCAACCACGCAGGCGCAATCCCATCCCACGGCCCGTGCGGGCCGATCGCGCAGGCGCAGTTCCAGCGCGCCGGGCTCCGCCCCCGGGTCGGGCCAGCCGGGCGGCTGCGGGTTTGGAGTCGTCGGCGGGTTGGGTTCCTGCGGTGCTGCTGGTATTTCGGCCGTTGGCGGCGGACCGGACGCATACGTGCCGGGGCGCCGAGGGCTGCGGCGTGACGGGCGCCCGGTTCTGCCTGCAGGTGCGCGCAGGTGCCGGCAGGTGCGCGGGGCGCGACCCCCAGAGCGGTCGGCCGCGGAGCCTCGGGAGGTGAGAGGGCGGGGAGCCCATCTGTGCGGGAGCCCTGAGCTCGGCTTACCCCGGAACAGCGCCGAGCGTCCTTCCCGCAGAGGGGCTCCGAAGGGCTCTGCGGGACGTGCTGGGTGCACTTAAGCCCTTAAGTCTAAGGCGATAAGGTGCTGCCATGCGCGGCCTCGTTCGCCGGAGAACAGGGATTAAAACTTAACCCCTGTGGGGGCTGGGGGAACAGAGCCCCTTCCTCTGAAGTGGCCGGCGCCGGAGGGGCCTCGGGCCGGCGGGCTGGGGCTTCCGAGCAGCCGCTCGGGAGAGGCCCAGCGCAGCAGGTGCTGAACACACGGAACTCGGGCTCGCTTTCGGTTTTTGTAAGATCCGGACATTTCACGTACAGTTTCCTAATACAAATTTATGCGCAGACCAAATAAATTCTGCAGAGTGATTTTGGCCCAGAGGCCTCTCCTTTGTCACCCTGTTTTAGACTACAGCTTATTTTGTATGAAAACGAGACAAATATGTTCATCTCTTAAGTCTTATTGTAATGATTAGGAAGTCTTTCAACAATTATTGGCCTAGTTCAGAGGGGTGAGTCGGGCGTGTAAGGGGCCCTTCTCCCCAGAGCCCTTCTCCCCTCGCCACCCTCCCGCGGCCTCCGTGACCCCCCGCTCCGTGGCTCGCCTCGCCACCCTCCCGCGGCCTCCATGACTCCCTCTCCTCCGTGGCTCGGCTCCCCTCGCCACCCTCCCGCGGCCTCCGCGACCACCACCCGCTCCCAACTCTGGCTGCCTCCTTGGCCACTGGTTGTACTCCAGCCTCAGGGACCTGACCTCTGTGCCTGAGCCAGGCAGGGGAGAACGTAGGACCTCTCACACCCTCTCTAATTCACTTATTTATTACAAATCTCAGCAGCATCAGGGTTTTGCTCTTTTGTTCTCACTGCTGGCGCTGCCTGCTGGCGCTGCCTGGCCCAGGGCAGTGGTGGGTGTTTGTTGTAAAGCTCAGGGGGAAGCGGACTATGGCCACAGCCCAGATCCTGCCGCCACCTGTTTTGGTTCAGACTCCGGGCTAAGAATGTCTTCTCAGTCTTTAATGGCTGGGGGAAAAAATAATAATATTTCATGACATGAAAATTCTGTGAAATGCAAATGTCGGTGTGTTCGCTCGAGGTTTCCTGGAACACGGGCGTGCCCACCCATTCACGGACCACCTAGCTGCTTTTGCCATGCAGGCCACGTTGAGGAGCTGCAGTAGAGGCCCTATGACTGGCAAAGCTAGCAATATTTGCTATCCAGCCCTTTACAGAAAAAGTTGCCAACTCCTGCGCTAGATGAACGAGCAGCCTCTTACCTGGTTCCCCCGCTGGTCATTCCTCCACTGACTCTCTCAAGGGGGTCCCTGTCTCAGAGTCAAAGCCAGAGTTCTTACAGCCATGGTGGCCAGGCCCACACTGCCTGACTCCTACTGCCCTGGCACTGCCCGGCCCTCGTTGACTCTGCTCCAGCCACACCGTCCTCTTCTGGGTCCCACCTCAGGGACTTTGCACTGGCTGTGTCCCCGCTGGAATGCTCCTCCCCAGATGTCTGCCCATCTCACCCCTTACCTCTTCAGATCTTTGCCCACACGTCACTGTCCTGGGGCGGGGGGCTCTCCCTGCTCTTTCCCTGTAAAGCAGTGCCCCACCCAGCCTCATTCTTCTCTGACGTTGACTTGTTCATGGTCAGCCTCCCTGAGTAGAATGAACGCTCCAGGAGAGCAGGGCCTTCTCTTCCCGTGCGATGTACGATGCCCAGCGCTGAGAAGAGGGAACACCCCCTGAGTCTTGGCGGGATGGGTTGGTTGAGTCCCCACCATTGCCCGGCACTAATCTGATGTGGACATAAAAGATTCTCCTGGCAGAATGGCGACAGCTCTTCCCCGAGGGACTCACCAGGCCCACCCTCTGTCCTTCATCCACATGTACCTTTCACATCCTGCAGTTCGGTCAGGTGTGGCCTGCTCTGACCTCACCTAGGAAGGATTTTTGTTCTGAACCCAGGGTGGCCATATAACTTAATGCCCAAATGGGGCACTGGGGGCATGAAATGGGGCGCTACACTCATGAGACTGGCACCAACATAAACTGGACCGTTCCAGTGAGTCAGGACGACGTGTGGCCTTGTCAGCAGCTGCGGGGCATTCATGTATCAAATCCTCGATGAGCACTTTCTGTGTGCCCAAGATGCTGGATCTTATTTTTAATTTAAACTGAACAAAAGTGTGACCTCCTGGATTTTATCCAAGTTTGAGCACCAACTTGGAGCCCCGGGAAAGAGGGAGGGGTTTGTGCCCTGCCTGGTACTGGGCGCGATGTGTAGTCCACGCTCAGGCAACATGGGGAATAAAGAGTGACCGACCACCTGCTCTGAGGTCACTGAGGCCACCGAGGCAGAGGACTGACCTGCAGCACCCTCGGTGGCCCTGATGGCTCTCTGTCCGTGTGGGCCGCACTGTGGTCCTTGGAGGGGGTTCACCCCATGCTCAGCTTCCCGTCACGTGACCTTGGGCAAGTTTCTCAAATGTGAATTGAGATTGCAAGCCCAGCTCGGGGACCGTGAGGTTGATGGTGTCACGTGTGGAAGCAGCTGGGCCCCCTGGCCCTGGTGACCGCATCTAGGGTCCTGAGGGCCAGGCCTGAAGTGAGGGCAGCTGCACCATGGAGCGCCGTGGTTTGGGGGTGGACACCTGCCTGTCTCCTGCTGCGGGTGCCGTGGGCAGCCCTGCAGCTGAGAACTCAGAGTCCATGGACCTCCTCCTGGAGTGCGGGGCTTTGTGGTTCCGGGACCGTGAAAGGGGTCCACCTCTGTTGTCCTCAGCACACGCCCCTGCCTTTCCCTCAGGGCAGCAAGAATGTGTGTGTGTGTGTGTGCGTGCAGGAGGGGGACAGCTTTGCCAGCAGGCCATGTGGGGAACACCCCAGGTGGGTCCAGGTGGAAGGGAAGCCATCAGGCTGCAGGAGGGGGCTCCAGGGTGCCAAGCACGTACCAGGCCCTCACCACGTTGTCCCCGTTGTCCGTGGGACCCCCCACCCCACACAGAAGGCAGTGTCATTGCTCACGTCAGGGAAGAGGACCCCGAGCTGGAGGGGGGTGAGGGCTTCCCCGAGGTCACAGAGCCGGCAGGGGCGGAGCTGGTTCATACGAGGTCTGGGGCACCATGCTGGGGCCCCAAGGGGAGGTTCTGAAGCGTCTCCCTGAAGTTGGTGTGGAATAGGGACAGCGGGAACAGAACAGCCCCAGCCACGGGCGAGCTCGCGAGTTCGTCCGCGGTCTCGGGTGTGACTCTGGGTCCAGGTGGGCAGGGGCTTGGGAACCCCTGCAAGGACCACCTGTGCCACGCAGGCATCAGCGGGGTCCCCTGGGGGGCCCTCCACAAGGCTCTTCTGAACGGAACCCCTGAGTCATTCTGCAACACTGACCCCAGCTCCTCACCTGGGGGCGGGCCCTTCAAGGCCAGGCTTGCCCTCCCCACCCTGCGCCCACCCTAGGCCTCCCAGGAGCTGGGGCATTGGCAGGTTGGAAGGAAGGGTGCGGGGGTGTTGGAGCCCAAGGGGGCCTTGGGCAGCCTGGGTTGGGGAGGAGAAGTTTTCCCTGGGTGCTCTGTGGCCGCCCAGTCCAGTTGGGATGATGCCTTCAGGGTTTGGAGGGCTGCAAGGTTGGAGTGGGGGGGCGGGGTGGAAGAGGGACGGGGGGAGAGTGAGCCCCCCTAGGCTTGGGTCCGGGCTACGGGAGGGACTGAGGGGATGGGAGGGAGGACGCCAAGGCCACAGACTCACTCCTGCCCCCCCACTGGCCCACCTGCCTTCCCATGGCCTCACTCCCACCCTGCTCCAGGCTCCACGCCCCAGTAAGCCAGCCGGAGAGCCGGGGAGGGGGCAAGGCTCCGTACCATCCCCACGCAGGTACCCCTGCATCCAGGTATCACCTCAGCACCCCTCCGGCCTCCTGGGGTGGGCGGGGCCTAGAGTGGGGCTCCAGGCCCCCGGGCCCAGCAGAGAGGAAGTGCCTCTGCGGCTTCCACTGTTGAGCCGGTTTCATCGTCACTTCGTGCTGTGCTGTGGGAGGCAGGAGAGCTCCAGCCCTTGCAGTAGACGTGTGACGTGTCCCGGTGGCTTTTCTCTGGGGCGGAGGGAGCGCAGGGCCGGGCGTGGCCTTCCTCCCTTGGGGCTGAGGAGCTGCAGGGCCTGCACTTAACTCCTCCGGCCCTGGGACCTCACAGCGGCACCAGACGGTCCTTGTCTCCACGCAGGAGGTGCTGTTGATGTCATGGTGCTGCCAGCTTGGGGAGTGAAGACCGGAAACAGGCGATCCAGGGACCCCGGCACAGGGTAGGTATGCAAGGAACAGTGACCCCGAGCCCTTACTGATGGCGTGACGGGCCCCCCACCGGGCCCCCGGTCGACCCTGCAGCCAGGATCTCTGGGGGCCCCGCTCCCCCACCTGAGAAGTGGGAATGATGGTAGTACCACCACCTCCGGATGGGGTAGAGGAGGACAGTGAGAGGTGGGGGGGGAGAGCCGCATCTGCCAGGTGTCCTGCTCCTCCAGACCGGTGCCCCCTCGCAGAGGATGGGGAGAGCCCGCCCAGGTCGGGGCCCAAGGGTGGAACCACCCAGCCGGCTCAGAAGGTGAGGACGCGGGAGTGGCGGTGGGACAGATCCCGGGGTGCTCAGCTGGAGTTTGGCCCCTTCCTGGGGTGCAGAGGAGGGGACTTGAAGGACTGGGGTGGCAGTGAGGTGCGGACCATAGTCCCTGCAGGAGGCACTCCAGAGAGCGTTGGAGAGAAAGTGGCAGCGTTCAGTAAGGCACTGATCTGGAGAGAAGTTGCAGGTGGGATGCCTAGCAAGTGGTGATGACCCCCGGTGGGACAGGAGTGCGTGGGAACAGAGCTTCACTTACCTTTTTGAGGGGAGGCGGCAGGGAAACATAACAGCAGTAAGTACCACCAGTCAGGGGAAAGAGGGGCAGTGTGGCTGGGATGGGTGCTGGAGGGCGCATGCAGAGTGCTGAGGTGCAAAGGCCCTGGGGCAGGGGAGACATCCGTGTGAATGGTGGGATGGTGAGCCGGGTAGGAAAGGGCCAGATCAAGGAGGGGCTTGGAGGACTTGAGGACCAAGGGCCCTGGGGTCCAGGGAGGGCAAGAGATGGAGACAGGATGACCTCGTGGGAGAGAGGCTGCTGGAGAGAGCCGAGGGAATCCCAGGAGGCGTCCTTGGGGAGAGCACGTGGGACTCAGGGCTTGGGAAGGGGATGCCCAGGTGGGAGCAGGCCCTGACTGAGGCAGAGGGTTCAGGAAAGCTCACACCCTGGCCCCCAGACGTCAGGCATGGAGGCCACCAGTCCGTGATGGCTAGTTGTGTTTTATTTTCCAAGATGGAAATGACTCAGTTTATGATCATAACTAGGAGTGCCAGAATTAGCAGGTAGAAGTGCAAGTATTGCCTGGGACATCCTCATATGAAAAAACTGTTGTTTGTCTTGATTTAAAAATGTAACCAGGGAACTTCCCTGGTGGCTCAGTGGTTAAGAATCCACCTGCCAATGCAGGCAGGGTACACGGGTTCAAGCCCTGCTCCGGGAGGATCCCACATGCCACGGAGCAACTAAGCCCGTGCGCCACAACTACTGAGCCTGCGCTCTAGAGCCCGCAAGCCATAACTACTGAGCCCGCGCACCTAGAGCCTGTGCTCCGCAACAAGAGAAGCCACCGCAATGAGAAGCCCGTGCACAGCAACGAAGAGTAGCTCCCGCTCGCCGCAACTAGAGAAAGCCCGCGCGCAGCAACGAAGACCCAACGCAGCCAAAAAAAAAAAAAAAAAAAAGTAACCAGATATACTGTATTTCATCTAGCAAGCCTAATCATAACAGGAATGCTGTCCCCTATTAACAGTCCCGCCAACACCAAAATAAAGCAAACTGGAGAACTAACTATGATCATACCCCCGACAAGATAACTTTGAAAACAACTAGACTATATCTTGCCCAGGTTTTATATACAAGGCTGTTGATTAAAAAAAAAAAAAAAGATTTTACTATATGTACTCTTTTTGAGGCTACTGTTTTCACTTAACAAAATAGCTCCTTACACGTAGACACACTGATTATGGCCACGCATGGGGTCATTTTTAACGGCGAGCACACGACTCTGCGGGAGGATGCCAGCTGTGCCCTGTACCCCGGCATCAACAGTTCTCAGAGGAGCACGATGCTCTTATGCTCTTTGCCAGTTGGTTATTTCTTCAGAAAACATTACTAGCAATAGGTTTTTTTTTTTTTTTTTTGCGGTACGCGGGCCTCTCACTGTTGTGGCCTCTCCCGTTGCGGAGCACAGGCTCCGGATGCACAGGCTCAGCGGCCATGGCTCACGGGCCCAGCCACTCCGCGGCATGTGGGATCTTCCCAGACCGGGGCACGAACCCGCGTCCCCTGCATCGGCAGGCGGACCCTTAACCACTGCGCCACCAGGGAAGCCCTAGGAATTTTTTTTTATTGAAAATTTTACAGAGATAATTAGAGGTTCACATGCAATTCTCACAAATAATACAAAGGAGCCCTTGGACACCTTAGCCAGGTTTCCCCAGTGGCAGCTAACACCCAGGAGAGTGGTGCTGATACAATCCACTGATATTATTCCAGTTTCCCTAGTTTTACTTGTATGTGTGTGTGTGTGTGTGTGTGTGTGTGTGTGTGTATTAAATTCTGTACAATTTTATCAGCCAGGTTGGTTTGTGAAATCTCAATCAGGATACTGAAGAGTTCCAACAAGGTTTGTTATTTTGTCCTTTTATAACCACACCCACCTCCCTCCTGCCTGGCCTTGTCACTAATCCCTGGCAACCACTAACGTGTCCTCCCTTCCTAAAACTGTGTCATTTTAGTGTTCCATAGATGGAATCAGATAGTAAGTAACCTTTTGGGATTGGCTACTTTGCTCAGCATAATTCCGCGGAGACTCATCCGCGTCGTGTGGGTGTCAATACCCGTCCCTTTGTGATGCTCCGTTGTATTCTGTGATGTGGATGGATCACCGTTGGTTCAACCATCACCTGCTGGAGGACATCTGGGTTGATTCCAGTTTTGGTCTAGTACAAATAAAGATTCTATGAACATTTGTGTACAGGTTTTGGTGAGGACAGAAGTCTTCGTTTCTGTGGGATAGGTGCCCAGAGGGCAACAACTGGGTCATACGGTAGTTGCATGTTTACTTCCTGAGGAAACTGCAAGCTCTACCTTTTCACATCCCTACTAGCATGTATCAGTGATCCAGTTTCTCTACATCCTTGCCAGCGTCACTTGTGGTCATAACTTTTTACTTTGTCATTGTAATAGGTGTGATATCTCATCGCGTTTTAGAGGCTAATGCGACATGCGGGATCTTAGTTCCCCGACCAGGGACTGAACCCGTGCCCCATGCAGTGGCAGCGTGGCGTCCTAACCACTGGACCGCCAGGGAATTCCTGCATATGCTTAACTGACATCTGTATATGTTCTCCCTTGAAATGTCTCTTCATATCTCTTGCTGATTTTTAAAGTTGGATTACTTATTTTTTTACTGCTGAGTTTTTATACATTCTATCTCCTAGTCCTTTGTCAGATAGGCAGCTTGCAAATATTTTTTTCTCAGTCTGCAGATTGTCTTTTCCTCCTGAGAGGGTTTTCACAGAGCAAGTTTTAAATTTCTGTGAGATCTACTTTATCAATATTTTCATTTACGTCTTTTGCCTTTGGTGTCAAGTTAAGAACTTTTTGCCTGGCCCGAGATCCCAAAGATTTTCTCCTACATTTTTCCCTAAATGTTTTATAACTTTACATTGAAGTTCATGATCCATTTTGAGTTTTGTATAAGTTGTGAAACCCTTGGGTTTCCTTCCCCTCTTCCTCCCCTCCTCTCCTTCCCACCCCGGCCCCTCTTCCTCCCTGCCTATGCATGTCGAATTGCTCCAGCACAATTTGTTGCAAAGGCTATCCTTCCTTCACTGACATGCTTTTACCCATTTGTCAGAAATCGTTGGACACATTTATGTGGGTCTATTTCTGGGTTTTCTATTTTGTTCTATTGATCTGTGTGTCTATCCCTCTGCAATTACCACCGTCTTGATTACCATAGCGATAATAAGTCTTGAAATTGGTTAGACTGAGTCCCCCCACTTTTTTCTTCTTTTCAAAAATTTTTGGGCGATTATAGCTCCTTTGCCAGTCCATGTACGTCTGAGGATAATCTTGTCTGTATCTACAAAAAACCTTGCTAGGATTTTGATAGGAATTGTGTTAACTTGTCTATCAGTTTGGAGAGAACTGGCATTTTCACTAGTGTTAGTCTGCTAACCATGAAAGTGATATGTCTCTCCATTTATTTAGATCTGTGATTTTTCAAATCAGGATTTTATCATTTTCAGCATTTTAATTTTATTTTGAAACACTGTTAATGGCCTTATATTTTTAATTGCAGTGTCCTTGTGTTCATTGCTAGTATGTAAAAATACAAATGATTTTTTGAAAATATTTATTTATTTATTTTGGGCTGTGTTGGGTCTGCGTTGCTGCGCGTGGGCTTTTCTCTAGTTGCGGCGAGCGGGGGCTACTCTTCGTTGTGGTGCACGGGCTTCTCGTTGCGGTGGCTTCTCTTGTTGCAGAGCACGGGCTCTAGGCACACGGGCTTCAGTAGTTGTGGCACGTGGGCTCAGCAGTTGTGACACACGGGCTTTAGAGTGCAGGCTCAGTAGTTGTGGTGCATGGACCTAGTTGCTCTGAAGCATGTGGGATCTTCTGGGATCAGGGCTCAAACCTGTGTCCCCTGCATTGGCAGACAGACTCCCAACCACTGTGCCACCACAGAAGTCCCCAAATGATTCTTTAAAAATGTTTATATTGTCTTCTGAGACCTCCCTGAACTCACTTATTATTTCTAGGAGTTTTATTGGTAGATTCCTTGGGATATTCTATGTAGATAATCATGTCATCTGCAAATAAAATAGAGGTGGTTTTATTTCTTCATTTCAGAGATAAACGCATTTTTTTCCTTTTCTTGTCATGTTGCACTGGATGATACTTCCAGCATGATTGTGATTGATTAAAAGTAGTGAGAGCAACATACGTACCTTATCCCTGATCTTAGGAGAAAACCATTCAGTCTTTCACCATGACATATGTTAGCTATAGTTTATTTATTTATTTAATTTTTATTTATTTATTTATTTTATGGTACGCGGGCCTCTCACTGTTGTGGCCTCTCCCGTTGTGGAGCACAGGCTCCGGAGGCGCAGGCTCAGCGGCCACGGCTCACGGGCCTAGCCGCTCCGCGGCACGTGGGATCTTCCCGGACCGGGGCA